TGGTTACAAAATAGGAGTGATTATAGTTTTAAAATTTGTGTTTGTTTAAAGAGAAGCCAAACAATTAGAAGTATCAGTTAATTACATTTCCTTTAAAAATGAAATAAGGGTGAGATATAAAATGAAAATTTATTATTTTGTGTACGTATTAGTCTTTAACAACAGAACTCAATAATACAAATTAGTCTTTAACAACAGAACTGAATAATACAAATAAAGTATAAGTAAGTCTTCCGATATAGTTCTATTTCGCTCCCTTTGGCAGATACCCTGTGGTATTCACCATAACCGTGGTAGTTCTCTCTTTATACACTAGGGGGAGGTATGACATAATCACTCCGGCGGGGTGGTGAACAAATTGATGTCTATGAGGATGTATTTCTTACCACTGGTCTCAGACACTGTGTTTCTCCCCTCATTTGCATAATAGCACATCTAATTAAGGCTAATCAATAAACCATGCTACTTTTTTTGGAATTTTTTCATTCTCTTGTATTTGCCTTATCATAAACCTCAAATAAAGATATTTTCTGACTTCCCTTGAATTAGTATGCAAAGCAAAAAAAACCATAGACTTCTCCTATTAAAAGAGTAAGGATTAATAAATGAGTTTGTAATCACTACTCTTTCCTTAAGTTAGTTGCTGCTTTTAAAGCCTCAAAACTTCACTTGCCAAGGTACACACTTTGAGACAGAGGTACTAGGCAGCATGGTTAGGCACCCATAGAGCAAAATAATCCAGATTTCTATGAAGCTCTAACTCCCTTGTTTAGTAAAGATATGTGCATGACAAACCATCTTTTAGAGAATATACAAAGCCATTTTAGGATTTGAAGATCTGACTGTAAAGAGCCCCTCTTTGAATTCATCAACTGTTCAAGATAGAGTCTTAAAAGAGTGGTGAATTTGGGGTCAGATCTGACTGCAAATTCAGACTATTGGTTACATCATTGAAACCACTGGGAAATAAATAACTTTTTTTTAAACCTGAATTTTAAGCAGTTATCCCAAAAATAATCATCAGAACTTTCTTGTAATTGGTCTGGATTTGATTTTCTTTGAATCCTGAATGATTCATGTTACAGATTTGTATGTTAGTCATTCACAATTTATAAATGGCAACTTAACTTTAGTATTTATGAATTGCGATCAATATTCTAGCAATCAAAACACTCACCTTTTCTATTTCAATACTTCAATTTTTTTTTTTTTTTCTT